CCCTTTACACTCTTAAAAATGATTGTGAACCCCCAAGAGCTTGGTTTTTGTGGTTCATATTAGGCTATTCATATTAGAAATTAAACCTGAGACTAAAAACTATCGAACTTAGAAATAACCCATTACATGTTGTCAAATCTTGATCAAAATAACTTGATTTTCCACAACAAATAGAGTGAGAAAGGTGGCATTTGTTTTATGTTTCTGCCAATCTCTTTAATCTCTGAGTTAACAGAGGCAGCTGGGTTCTCATATCTACTGCTGCTTTCACTCTCTTGAGACCTTGTTTTGGCTGAAGCCTTAGAAGAAAGTTCGGCCTTGTGCAGGCAGGCAATGTACTTGGAAAAGAGAAGAGTATTTTAACAGTCTTCTTAGATAATTGTGGCTATTCTTCAGTACATGAAAAGTCGACAAGTGCATTTCTTTAGTTTCAATGTGGAAACTGAAATTGTATCAGTGAACTTGGAATACTATGTTGAATTAAAATCCATTGGTCTATCTTGGACTTTAAATGCATAGTTTTGTAATATCATGCATTGGTCATTGGGGAATATTGGTTTGCTGAATTATACAGATCTCTAAATATTGTCACATTTCATTACACAGTATTGGAAAAGAATCACTTGTTCCTATCAACACTGGTCTGATGAGGAAGGCTTTATGTACTGAGGAAGATGTCATGCTCATAGTAGTGGACACAGATTTTCAAAAATTCTGATTTTTGCTTGAAGACTTGAATTTTGTCATTGGCAACAAATACTGTCAGTTATTTTCCTGGAGGTCACTCACTTGGTGAATTTTTTCGAAAAAGGAGGGCCAAATATCCATCTGAATAGCCATTTTTAGTTGGTCTTCCAAGCAAAAATGGATTCCACGAAAAAGTGGTTTGTACAGCTCACAACTCAACTGCACAAGGGCTTCCTGTGTACTTCCCAGTTAGTCACACAGAATATTAAAAAGATATTCTTGAAGGCTGAGATTAATAAAATTTGTAATTTTACTGCCTTTATCGAGGCCATTAAGTTAAACTGGCTTTTCCTGCTGTAAGTGCATGGGACCACTTGCTTTGAATCATGTTAGGTAGGGTGCTAGCAGGTTTACCTATGGAAATTAATGTCTTAGTGTTAGGAAAATAGGCTTAACAGGTGGACCACCTGGAAGACTCTCGGCGACTCCCCTGAGAGTGGACAACACTCTGAGAACACTGGTATACAAGATACAGGCTTTGAAAAATGAGCCAGACTTTGATAGGCTTAGATGAGGGAGAGTAGGAACATCAGGAAGGCGGTGAAATACTAGGTGTATCGAAGGAACAGTGGGTAGGATGTATGCATGGTCGGAAGAGGAGGGAGGCAGAGGCAGATGAAGCTGAAAAGATACTGTGAAAGGCCTGGAATCAGTGATGATCAGTTAGGCTTAGACCACACAGGAAGATAAGGGTAGGGTGAGAGCTTTTGTTCTGTTTTTGAAAGTTGTAGTTTTAAGTTATATAAAAATAAAGCAGGCCATGTTTATATTTACTAGTTATAATATAAAATTGATAGCTTCTTTTCTCATAAGGAATGTTTAGGGAAGGAAAGAATAAATGTGGTCAAATGCTTTGCTGTATGAAACATCCTGCATTATTACTTTAACTTAGTAATTCTTTCAGAAGAAAAAAAGTGAGAAGACTTACTAAGTACGTATTCTGAACTAAACACTATGCTACTCACTTTTCCTGTGTTATATAATTTAATCTTTCTAACAAGCTTACAAAGGAGATACCACCATGCAGCTAGATGAGGCAAATTAAGCCCAGAAAGTTAAATAACTTTTCAAGGTACATGACTCTCAGCTTGAATTTTGTAACACTTCATATTGTCACCCATTATCTCAAAGCATTTGGGGAAACCCTGGAGACAGTTATTAACCACATGCACATCTATATATCCTATGCAATCTTCTAAAAGAACACAAGGTTCTTTGATTGTGTATTAAAAATTTTTTCTTCCCTTCAAGAACTATTTTAAACAATATCTAAAGTTGATGACTAGGAATAGTATGTTGGCTGATAGGAATTTTTAAAACATAACAACTGAGAAAAATCAGGATTTAAAAGTTACTGCTCAACTTCAAGACAGTACTTACTGGATATCAACACAGTTTCATTCCACATTTAAAAAAAACATCTGATCTGTAAGAAAAAGGTTTAGGGAAAGCAATTCAAAATCATAGTCTGATGCCATTTCTTTGGCCCAAGAAAAGAAGGGTGCTAAGTTTATTAAATCAACATATAGGGTCTGGACATCTATCACCTATATCATCATACCAACAGCTTGTTTTTCCCTTCACCTGGACCTGTTCCTTTAAATATCTGTGCTCTTTTACACACATGTACACACATGCATGGACACACACGTGAACACACACATTTAAACCTGTGGCACGTTTCTCCCCAATGTAAATAAATAAATACTTTGTTCAGCAGGATGGTTAGAAACATTTTTGTTGACATTTAAAAACAAATTATCAAAACTGTTTCAAATTAATCCCCATATGAGTATTTTACTATAAAGTAAAAAAATTAAATACAGAGTAAAGCTGTTTATTATTTGTTCATTTCTAGGTAGGATAAGGGTCTAAGAGTATAACAGAGTTCAAAGAAAGTAGCTACTTAGCTTGACAAAAAGTAGATACTTGCTAAAGTAGAAACTTACCAATGGTGAAAATAGGCGGAACATCTTGAAAGTTTTATTGACTTTGTATTTAAAAAGTATAGTGCAGTAGAAACTATGCTTTTCTTCTACTACTAAAATAATTGTATTTTGGTTTAAATTACAACTGGTAACAATTTATCTATTTATATTTGAACATAATGTTCTTTCTATATTTTAGATTAAAAGTTGTACAGCATTAAAAAGCTTATAAAGTAAATTGCCAAAAAATGTGAACTCATGTATACATTTCTGACTTTGGGGAATTATTATAATTATTATATTATGGAATGCCAAACATGGGCAATGTATCCAAGCTAAGACAGTTATGATAAATTAATACAAGAGAAAACATTACCATTATGACTAATGTGCCAAATTCCATGGGGTTCTGAATGTGCTTATTGCTCTATTTTTTGGAACAGGGGACTTCAAATCCCTCTATGTTTCTGATACAATTATACTGCAATAAAACTTTAGGGAGTAAAATAATTTGTATTGAAAGATCATAAACATATTCTTAATACAAAAAGGAGCATCTGCCACTGTGAGATTTGTTCTGTTGCATTGGGAGACTTACTAGAGGTAAGTATTACACATATGCAGAGGTGTCATGGTTGGTAAAGGGATTGTAATGACTAGTTCTTTCTTCTTTGCCTAAGCAGGGTGGCTGGTATGGATTCAGGTAAGTTTAAGAAGATCATAACTTTGCTCCAGTTACTCCCTTCCAGCATGCCTTGTGCCACACATTTGAACTATATATTAGACACATGTGCTAAAGAGCTTTTGGTGGATTGGAAAACCCCAGACTCTCAGTGGGGCTGAGAGCTGGCAGTTTGGAGGTAACTGATTTCCTGAATGTGCTACTGCAGGGCTCAAGTCTCAGTGATGTCAAGGAGCCCAACAGGCTACCTGCTGGTTCAGCTATGCTTTATTTCATTAAAATGCACTTGTCTAATAAACAATATGTCAACCTGATCCTGCCAGAAAAATTAACAGGTTGCCTGAGAAAATACCTTACTTGTTGTGCACTTTACTTGATGGAGTTTTAGGCATTAAAGGTTAGAAAGTACCTGGAAAATCCAACAATGACATGTTTGTATTAGGATTTTTCCTTGAGATTTTGGTGCATCTAAATTTTTTATATATAAATGGATATTTACCAAATACTTTTGATATCTAACTGAACAAGAGGAGGAGAAATGATCTAAAACTGGTAATACATATTCTATTATGCATAATATCACTTTGAGTGGGCGAGGAAAGATCAAATATAGGCAGTGTTTTCATTTACCATATTACTTGTACTCCTGAAAGCCCTTCAGTTAGCCATTGATCACATGGTTTCTGCCATGTCTAAATTATGATCTTTGGCAACAAGAGCTCTGAATGAAGGAGTTGTATAACTCCTCAAAGACCCCTCTGCACTGGCTGCTTTATCCCCTTTAAATGCTATCAAGAGGAATGTTCATGTAAAGTGTATTAGCAGTCAGTAATACTGCAGTTGCTAATGAATGGCTGTATGTCTGTGTGAAATTCCATAACTGAACTTCCATTTAACAAAAGATAGGCTAGCAAGGAAGAATTTGGACACCTTACTAAGGTATTTGTATAATTTGTTACCTTACTAAGTGAAATGTCCATACATCAAAAAGAAGTAGTTTCAAAATGTTAAAGCACATTATTTTCCCAAGTCCATTTGGTCTTTGAAAATTTGTAGTCATTAAATGAAGTTTCCTGTCTTTTTCCACAGGGCATGATACTGCTGTGTACCTTTACCTAAATATTATGATGAGTAATGGAGACTGCTCTCACGGATGCATTTGGCTGAATGTGAAAAGTCTGCATTCTTAATGTTTACCGCAAACCCAACGAAGCTGATGATCAGTCTGAAGGTCAGTGAGCTCCTCAACAGTTCTCCAGCTACACTGGCAGGCATATGCCCGTGTTCCTTTATATGCATAATATCACTTTGAGTGGGCGAGGAAAGATCAAATATAGGCAGTGTTTTCATTTACCATATTACTTGTACTCCTGAAAGCCCTTCAGTTAGCCATTGATCACATGGTTTCTGCCATGTCTAAATTATGATCTTTGGCAACAAGAGCTCTGAATGAAGGAGTTGTATAACTCCTCAAAGACCCCTCTGCACTGGCTGCTTTATCCCCTTTAAATGCTATCAAGAGGAATGTTCATGTAAAGTGTATTAGCAGTCAGTAATACTGCAGTTGCTAATGAATGGCTGTATGTCTGTGTGAAATTCCATAACTGAACTTCCATTTAACAAAAGATAGGCTAGCAAGGAAGAATTTGGACACCTTACTAAGGTATTTGTATAATTTGTTACCTTACTAAGTGAAATGTCCATACATCAAAAAGAAGTAGTTTCAAAATGTTAAAGCACATTATTTTCCCAAGTCCATTTGGTCTTTGAAAATTTGTAGTCATTAAATGAAGTTTCCTGTCTTTTTCCACAGGGCATGATACTGCTGTGTATCTTTACCTAAATATTATGATGAGTAATGGAGACTGCTCTCACGGATGCATTTGGCTGAATGTGAAAAGTCTGCATTCTTAATGTTTACCGCAAACCCAACGAAGCTGATGATCAGTCTGAAGGTCAGTGAGCTCCTCAACAGTTCTCCAGCTACACTGGCAGGCATATGCCCGTGTTCCTTTCTTCTTTACCAACTTTGTTTTTAATTTGTGGAATTCTGGCATGTTGTTCCTATTAGTAAAACATGAAGGTTTTAGCATAGTCATTTTGTTTGGTGCTTAACAAGCTTAAAAAGCAGTTATAATTGCTTCATTTTCCTCTCTTTATAATACCTGAACATTAAACCATCTTGGTCTCCTCATGCTTCTGTGTTCTTGCACACGGTACTTCCTCAGTATCTAGTACTTTTTAATGGCAATCCTCTAGGTCTGTTTATTAGGACACAGTGACCTAAAAGGCTGAAGAATTGCTGATTTGTCCTATCAGGGATGACATGATAGGAGAATAGGGTGAGAAGGGTGATGGTTCATCTACCTCAGATAGTCACTTATACTGTATTCTAAACACCTGCAACATGGCAAATGGAGAGTGTAGAAGAGGCATAAAGATCAATAGGCTTCTGGTGGGGAATGATAACAATTTTTCATTAATAGAGCAAAAGTGTTATTTTTATGCATTTAACTGATAGTGTATCTTTCATTTGTTTTAATGGTAGGCTTGTTTACCTATACCGTCAATAACAAAATAAATGCCTCTCCTGCATTAAATATCAATAACGTTAAAACAGTTCAATAAATGAGCAGGACCATCATAAAATATGATAACCACCTGACTTGACTGCTACTATAAAAAAAGACTAGAGAAATTAATTTAAGTTTAATTAATTAAAAATCAATTACAATTTGCATGATAATCCATGTACTGAATTTATGTAACTATTCTGTGGCAGAAGAGAAATGGAAAAATTCAAAATGAAAGGATGACAAAAACAAAGTAAAAAGATAAAATACGATTATTAATACTAAAACAACATGCAGTGCTGTTTGCTACTTTTGATGTCACTGCACTAGAGGCAGGCTACCAAGTGCCCTCTGGTGGCCAATGGGCACCAGCACACACAATACTGTATTGTACACAATCCAGGCATAATTTAGAAGGTCAGAACCTAACAAAACCTGAGAGATTTTCCCAGCCGACTGTCTGGGTGCAGGAAACTGAGACCCTGATCATCTAAGTGACTTACTTAGCTAAGGTTATAGTGAACTAGGGGTGAAATGAGTAATCTGAGTTTTATCAGGAAGAAAAAACTCCACAAAACTAAAATGTGTTTAATGAAAACTAAATGGTTAAATGAATACCAATATATTTTGACAAACTTAACATTTAATACTTGATTGAATGCTTAATTAGTGATTTAAGAGTAAGAATCATGAATAACCAAGAACTCATTTAATGCATTTTTAAAGAAGCATGTACTGTAAAAGCTTAGAAAGAAAAATAATTTCATTATTTTCCATGAAGAAAACAATGCTTTACTAGGAAAATAGAAGCATTTTATTTAGCTATTATGGCACAATGGTCAAGTATAGCTTATACTTCTTTAGAAAATTCTAGAATTTGTCAAAGCTAGGATCTACTTATTTCTCTCATCTGTTAAGGACAACAAAACAACCACACAGTTTCACTAACCAATGTGCAGAATGAGACTACTGAAAATAACTGGCTCCCCATGTTCTGCTGGGCATTCAATGGCATTCTGCAAACCTTTTAACTTGCCTCCAGTCATCACCTACTTCTGGTTTCCCTCAGTGATAATTCCCCACCCTCCTCAAGTGCTTCATCTACCATTCTGGTCCTTTACTTACAGCAGATCACATCCTCAGTCACAAAGCCAGGCCATCAGATGTGAAAAGCCTTCCATTTCCCAGCTTTCCCTCTGAACATGCCAGTATCTCACCTCCTTCAACCCAGACACAGAGGGTTAGCTTCCTCTTCCTATCCAAGGCTCACCTTCCATCATTACTCTAGACCCCAAAGCCTCTAAGGACATTGTTACTCACATACCCTGCCCCTCCCATGTCTTCGCTACCCCTCAAAATACAAACATCAAAGTGTGTCTTATCTTAACTAAATGACTCCTTAACTCTGCACTCACTGGCAGGCTTCTAAGTTGCCTTCCTGATACCATCTGATCTCATGGTTTCAACTACCACTTTCAGATTACACTGCTTCAGAGCTACAGTTTCAACAGCTCCCATAAATGAAGAGTCTCTTCAAATCTTGAAGGAAGGCAATTAATAAATTGCCTCCATCAATGGAGAGTATATTCATCTAGACAGAAGCCTAGGACTCATCCTAGATATTTGTCTCACCTTCCACAGGCATGACAAATCTCTCTCAAATGCATCTACTCCTCTCTATTCTCCTCACTGCCATGATTCAGATCGTCATTTCTTGCCCACTGGATTATCACACAGCCTCCATTAATCCTGATGATTCTAAACTGGCCTGGTTCCCTACAGCAGTTATCTTTGAAAAGTTCAACTCTATTCAGATCTCTCCCCTCCACAGCCCAAGAATTAAGCCCAAATTCCTTTATTGCTTTCCTGGCTCTGCTCTTTTTATTCTCTCTCTTCTCCACTCACCTCTTGCCATCTCTTGCCCTTGTATCCAACACTTTACACAATCCAAACTACTTGTAAGTCCCCAAACATGTCACATGGTTTCACCTGTGTCTTTAAAAATACCTCCTAAAAGAAAACCAGTGTTTGTCTTGTTTGCTAGGCAAACTCTTATTCTTTAAGACTCTGATGGAGTGTAATTACTTTGCCCCATGATTCCCCTCTTTCTTTTAACTTATCTCCACTGTCACATTTGTCACTTGATATTATTACATTACGTCTCTCCCTCCCAAAACTGTAAATTAGTTGAGAGCAGAAATTGGGTCCTATTCCTCTCATGAGCCCAATATCTAAGAATGCCATAGATCAGGCACTGAATATTGTTTGTTTGAAAAAGAAACGCTAGTAAGTTCTACAAAATAAAAATGTATCATGATTTATATCCTGATGATGGTGATATATTTTATTTGTTCCATTTTTTCACCTCTCAAATATTCCTAAGCATCTAGAGGGCTGAGAAGATTTGTTCTATTGATATAAATAACAACTCCTTATTATTATTTGCTTGTTATATTGTGTTTAGTGTACTGTAGAAAGACAACAAGTATTGTTATTTTTAATAGTATAATAAATCTAGGTCTCATTGTTTTATTTAAATGTATACATTTTTTTAAAACCAGGCTGCCTTGAGTAAACCCAACTGGTGCTGATAACCTGAGACATGGAAAGTTAATTAAGTACTGGCAGCATTACCACTCAGCTTACTCAGGGCCTGTGCTTGATGGTTTTGATGTTACATGCATCCTATCATTTTACACTAGTTTTATAAAAATTGTGGTTCACCTTGGTGACTTATGGGAATTATTACTCACTCATTAGATTAACCAGAAGGTCATATAGAGCAGAGGATTTAGAGAAGTTAAAAAGGCAAAACAGACTTAGAGTTAAAAGCCACCTTTTCCAACTATGGGATAACAAGTGTGATAACCTGGCCTGGGGTTTGGGGACTGTAGGAGACTTTACTTGCATTGGATACTGGGAAACCTCTCATTTTAACTTTTCTCTTTATTTGTATATTTGAATTTTTTTTGTGTGTATGGAGAGGATTCAAAGTTTTCAGAAGATTTTCAAAGCAGTTCATGATGGAAAAAATTTAAAACTATTCAAGTAGAGGATATTTCTAAGGATTTACATGAGGAAGGATGACTGAAGAGGTATAGAAGACTGACTCTTTCCTTTATGTCACTGGAGAGTGCTGCAAGATATTGTGAATACTTGTACTGGAAAACAGTCTTTATTTAGGCACAGGTTTGGAGGGCCAAAAATGTATGATAGGTGCACTTTAATTTTCAGGTCTTTTTTTATTTGCAAATGTGAATGCATAATTCAAACATATTTTTATAACTTCTATAATATCTTAAAAATATTAGGTATTCATTAAGTGTGTAAGAATGTATACATTGCAAAAATATGAGTAAGACACTATCCCTACTACAAGGAGGGAGGCAGACATATATAAATCTAAGATTTTATTTATTTTATTGGAATAAAGTTGATTATTTATTGGTTATATTGGTTTCAGACATACAACATAGTGACTTGATATTAATATGCATTAGTAGATCCTTGCCAGGGTAAGTGGGGTTACCCCTGTTATCATACCAAGATGTTACATTATTATTGGTTATATTCTGTATGTTGTGCTAATATTTTAAGTTTTATTTTAAATTTACAGTAAGTACTAATAATAGGTATGGAGTGCTGTGGATACACAGCACAGGGTGAATTTACTTCCAGGTGGAGAGAGTGGTGAGGGAATCAGAGGAGATGTACAATGAATGGTACTCTGAGGGACAGGTATGGTTGGACAGACAAAATGGTGAGGTTTCCCAGGAAATGGAGAACTTACACAAAGTCACAGGGAATGGGAGCATTAGGTACTCTGACATAGCTAAAATCTGGTGAAGTTGCAAAGACAAAGATGGATGATAGATGCGGGCTGGATTGTGGAGTGTCTAAGTGCCACACTAAGGAATTTGGAGATGATTCTGTAGGAAGAGTTCTGGGCAGGAGAATGGCACATGCACAAGAGTTATGCGTTAATTCTCAGCAACAGAAGGAAGGTCTGAAAGAAGAGACTGTAGGCAGAAAAATCAGTGAGGAGGTTACTGCTATACTCTTGCCCAGAAGTGACATGTCCTTACCTAGGCTGACAGCAGGCAGATAGATGGAAAGGAGGAGATGGATGAGAGAAATAGTGAAGTGATGGAGGCCACACAATTTGGCAAGTCCACTAAAAGACCCTAAAGCAAAATAAGAAAAAGTTGTACTTGGTACATTTTTCACAGAGTGAAGTTCTTGAGAAACATACCTGAAAAACAGATAATCGCATGATTTGTCCCACACTGAGTCATCGTAGCTTACTACCCAGAAGTCACACGCTACACAACGCAGATGGTCACATGCTCTGTTCAGAGAAAAAGAACTATAATTAAGGATTACTGGTTATTTAAATATGAAAATATGGTGATTTATTCATAGGATCTACAACAGATTCTGAGTAAATAACAGAAAAGTAAAGACTAATCTGATCAGAAATGTTTATACTAAGGGACTGATTATATACCAGAACTTTCAGGTTAAATTTCTGCACAGCCTACCTATTTTACTAAGATCTTACACACTGATACATGTATGATGCAGGTATATTGCACAGATATAAAAGAGACAAAAATGGATGTGCAGATCTTTTAGGGCAATGGTTTTCAGTGTGTCTGAGGAAAAGTTTCACTTGAGCTGATGTCTTTAAATCACTTCCCTTCTTACTGAAATTTTCAGGGACTTCTCTATCACAGGCTTTGCCTCAGATTGAAATGACTTTGTCTCCCTCAAGAAGCTATTTAAGCACTGTCCTCATGGAGCTTATATTCTAATGAGAGAAGAAATAGTATTCATAAGAACAAAATTAATAAGAAGGTGAACAGTGCTTTGAATGAAATAGTAAATAGAGTAGGATAGGGAAAATAAAATGGGGAGTACTGGGAGGGAGTAGACTGCAATTTTAAATAGAGTGGCCTGTATAGGTCTCACTGAGGTGTATCTGAGTTTTTTTTTAGTGGAGTGGTAGGTGGCAAAGGAAGTGGGTTAAGAGAAGGTTAAATTTAGGAGGGAGGAAAAGGAGCATGTTTGTATGTTGGTGGCAAAGATGCAGTGAAGAGCAAAATGCTGCTGATGCAGGATAGAGAGGGTAGAAGTGCTAGAATAACAGTTAGCCTATAATGAATGGTTGCTTAATGAATATCTGAGGAACTGAAATGCCAAGTAATTTTCAAAACTCAAACACTACATAATAACTTTAGGAGTAAATGATAACATGGCAATAATTATGAATTGCAGCAAACAATTTGATTTGTACAGTAACTGTGGTTTACTTTAAAGAAAGAAACTGCCCTCATTGTTTCAAGTATTTAAAAACTAGAATCAGTTTAGATGCAGTTTCTCATCTAAAAATTCAAAGGAAATAAGAAGAGGTTTAATAATACTGAAAACAAAGTGAAAGATAGTAACAGAGTGTGAGAAAATATTTTCAAGACATGGTTAACAATATATAATATCCAAACAGCATTTACAAATGACAACAAAGAAAACAAAATCTAAAGTATATTCAATCTCACTGATACACATATCATAGAATAGTAGTTGAGAACATATCCACTGGACACAGACTGCCTAGGGTTCAAATGCTGATTCCACTATTTACTAGCTGTGTACCTATAGTCAAGTAACTTAACTTCTCTGTGACACAGTTTCCCTATCTTAAAAATAGGGATAAAAGGAGGCGGAGCCAGGATGGCGGCGTGAGTAGAGCAGT